TTTTTAACATCATGATTTATGCAAACATTTTCTTTTACCAGGGTGCTGCCTTGGCATTTTATATTCTTTCGGCTCTATTTGTGGACAGTTTTGTGATCATATTTGTGGTCACAGTACTTTTTGCTGCACTTGATTTTTGGGTTGTCAAGAATGTAAGTGGTCGTATCTTGGTGGGCCTTAGGTGGTGGAATGAGATTAATGATAATGGTGAAAGTGTGTGGAAATTCGAATGCCTTGACCAAGAGGTAAGGATATTCTTGTTTAATATGTTTGTCGATTGTTTGTCTACTTAGGTTCTAATCATGTAACCCCATTTTTCCATTGTTCAGTCAATGGCTCGAATGAACAAGAAGGATTCATGGCTTTTCTGGTGGACCTTATACCTTACAGTAAGAATTGTGAATTTAGCTACATTTTAGGCTACATGTATCTTATATTTAGTTAAAGTAGAAGAATTAGATAACTATGTGATCAATACATTGAGAATAGGGTTATTGAAATGCGCATTATAAGAAAGTCCAAGAAAAGAAAGGAAATATCTAAAACAATTTTTAAGTTTTTGTTATTGAATATCTTATTACCTTCAACTGTAGCCTTGTCTCTATGTCTTTGCTACAGGCCGTCGCGTGGATCTTTTTTGCTATTTTCTCTCTGATTAGATTTCAAGCTGATTATCTTCTTGTTGTTGGTGTATGCTTGACCCTTAGCATAGCAAATATCATTGGCTTTACTCGATGCCGCAAAGGTAAATGGCTGATCTCTTTTTCAAGTGTTAGATTTTCCTTCGATTTTTTGATAATATTTGAATTTAAAAAATGAATGTTAATGGTTGTAGGAGAACTTTAGAGCACTCCTTGCTTGCAGTGACAAATTGCCCAAATAAAAGTTAGATTTGAGAGCTCTAAACTTTTCTTACAGAACTGTTGAACATGCCTTTTCTGGATTATGGATAACTTGCTAGCATGTTTGCATATATTTATCATTAAAATTGTGCTAAGGCATAAATAGATCAGTGGACCTCCAAAATTTTACTGGCAGCAAAAGAATGCTCTAGTAAACATTTATTTTATGAATGCTTAGTAAGTTTTGTGCATTTTTCAAATTGATCAATCATTTTTTGAATAGAAATGCCTGGCACTTACAACCTTAAGTGTTGTGAAGGTTCCTAAGAAGTGAAGTTACATTTTCATCCATGGATCAATCATATGTGTTATCTACATTATATATGTTGCTAATATATCAAATCTATGTACAAATGAAGTACAAATGATATATAGGTTCTCATTCATATTTTTCGATCAACAGTGGTGATTTTTTATTAATTTATTTATATTATTATGCCTTCTGTGTTGACAAAACCATTCATTTTTCTTTTAACTCAACTTAGAATGAATGAAACGTAATCATTTGTGCATTGATATTGTTCCTTTTACTTTTCCCCCTTGAGGAATAATCTTTGGTCTCTGTTACAGATGCTAAGAAGCAACTTCAAGCATTTGCTACACAGACAATTGCCTCTCGTGTATCGTCGACCATTCAGTCAGCTTTGAGTGTTGTTTGAATCACATGCACGATTAGACGCTATCTTTCATGTCCAGAGTGATTCGTGTCCCATTATTGGCCAATGACGTGGTCAAAAGTTTGAGTTACTCATTATCGATATACTGCAGCAGAAATTGAGAGTATTGGTGTAAAATTTTAGTTTAAAATGGTTTGTAATACTTGGAAGGTGTACGTCGTTTTTGGAAGATCTTTTGATATTGATATGATATAATTTTTACCTTTTTATCAGAGATGACAATATCATTGTTCTCATTTCTAATGACAGGATGCGTTAAAACCAAACATTAATTACATACTAAAAAGCAACTAAACAGAAGAAGCAACCCTAGCCAAACTAAATCGCGGCCTATAACCCTAGCTTGGGGCCCGTGCAGGCGGAATTGATGGCATACGTGGCCCGCGGTGGGGCCGGTCATGATATAATTGTACGGGCTGCCCTAGCCGAGAAGGCTGGGGAAAAAGTCCGGCAGGAAGATACTGCCTGACTGCTGTTGAAGGCCATTTTGCCTAACTGTGTGTTTCAGGCCTTCAATTGTGACTCGGTTGGGAAAGTTGGTCAAAAGGTTTCTGGAAAGTCCTTGCTGGGTTTATTCTTTTGTGATCACTGATTGATTATTGTGTTGCAATTGTTGATTTGGTTTTGCTAGTATTTATTATCAATGAATAAGTGTAGTTCCGTGTTCTTTTTTCCTCAAAAAATAAAAAAAATAAAAAAATAACAGTCGAACAACCAGTCACCTAGTTGAATATAGTTGGGAGATGTAGTCTAGAACCAACATAAAACAACAAACACAAAGAAACACTAATGGCATGATTGGTATAATGGAATGGAATGTCGTAGGAATGAAATAAATTGAAGAATGGAATGATTATGAAAATGGAATGAAACAAGTTTTGTCATTGATGCGTTTGGTATGCAGAAGGAATAAGACCTGAATGGAATGACATTATCATTTTTTATTCTAAAAATAAATAAAAGCTTTTTTTAAAAAATAATATATTTTTAATAAATTAAATATAAATGCTTTTTTTTAATAATCTATAAAAATAAAATAATATATTTTTTAATAATACAAAAAATAATATATTTGTAAAAATACATAAAAAATAATATATTTTTAAATTATATATAAAAAATATACTCTTAAAAGTAATATATTTTTAATACATATAAATAATATATTTTTAATAATATATAAAAATAAAAAGTAATATATATTTTTTTTTCTAATTGAACAATAAATAAAACTAAGTTTCCAATTTTTTTATTTCAATTTATTTAAAAAATAATATATTTTTAATAATATATAAAATTAAAAGTAATATATTTTTAAAAATATATATTTTTAATTTTATTTAATAATATATTTTTAATAATGCATTTTTAAAGTACTATATTTTTAATAATACATAAAAATAAAATAATATATTTTTAAATTATATATAAATGCTTTTTTTTTAGTTTTATTTTTATATAAGTATTTAATATATCTAATTAAACAATAAATAAAAGTAAAAATTTTCAATATTTTTATTTGAATTTTATTTTTTAAAATAATTTTATTTAATATATTTTATTCATTATTTATAATATATATTATATATTTAATTTTGTTTATATTTGTTAATTTTATTTTTTGAAAAATTGATTCCTACACACATGAGAATGAGAAAAACTTCCATTAACTATGGAATGGCTAATCCCATGGAGATTGGTTTTGCCATTCCCATTGGATTGCTCATTTCTTTCCAAAAAAAAAAAAAAAAATAAAAATATACCAATCATGGGATAAGGAATAAATAAGGGAATTATCATTTCATTCCCATGTCATTCCCTCATAACAATCATGGCATAAGACACAGAAGAAGCTTTCAATGGGATAGAAGAGATAAACCAACACAAAAAGGAAAACAAAGAACCCTAAACAAACATAGAAACATGAAACATAAAAAAATAAAAAAATAAAAAATTGTTTGTTGGATTCTATGAGGAGCGTCGTCGATGTGCACATCCAATTTTATAAAAAAATAAATGATAACGCATCAGAATATATAGTTAGGATTAAGACTTACAGTTTAAAATTTTTGCCAACTCTGTACGGACATACACGGTCTACTGGGACGGACGAATGGTTTTAAGTTGTTCTTCATACCAGACTTCTCGTCCTATCGCTTCATTGCTCGTTGTGCCCGTCTTATCAAGTCTCTCGTCCATCGCAATCTTCATGTCATGCGTCCAGGTGTTCGCGTCACGTATTGCATGGCTTTGGGCATGTTGGACTGCTATCGGACCGCACCCAGGTTGCTTTAGGTGGTCCCGCCACGGCTCGCTTGGTGCGTGGATGACTAGTCTATGGTCCGCTGGTGCGCCGGTCCCCGAGTGTCGTGCGCACTAGGGCACTGGTCGCTGAGATATTGTAGCCGGTGTGGTGCTGGGACACGTAATGCACGAGGGCACTGCGAGTTACGCTGGGAGTCTAAGACGCTGCTGCGCACGGGCGCTGGGCTGCATTTTGGATTGCGCTGCGCGCGCGGGGTACAAGTGATGAGGGATCGTGGTTCTTGTCCCGGTTTATGGATAAACGCGCACTAAGGGCCTTCGTTTAGACACGATAGGTTGTGAGAAAAGACGCACTAACGGTCTTCTTTTAGACACGGTTGTATGATAAACACGCACTGACGGCCTTGCTTAGACACACGAATAAACAAAACGTTCTTTTCTATTAACTCTTCGACTTTTGACCTCTCAAAACATTGAGAGATGACTAGTATTTATAGATCCTAACTTAGTCTAATCCTATTCAAACTAGTAAACTAATTAAAGCAATAAAATATTAAATCCTGAGGCAACTAGAAATCTTAAAGAAACAAGGAAAGTAAATATCTACTAGAATCCTAATACTCTAGAAAGTCTTGCTGTCCAAACTTTGCTTGCACTCCAAGTCGCCAAAAAACCCTTGCCGCCTCAAATACCCGCGCGCCGCCCGCGAGTCCTAGTCCTCGGCGGCTTCGACGTCGCTCTCGCCTGTCTCGCACGCCCGCGCCATCGCGCCCGCTGTCCGTGCG